TTGATTGCAGGGTCATACAGGGTGACCGCAAACAACGATTGCAAACATTATTCATTCATTAATATTATCGTTCAAAATAATGTTCTCCATAATGTTCAATTAGTAATACTATCAACTAAATGTACACAATGGGACATTAACAGATACGAACGTTAAAGTCAAATCACCTTCCCCAATGACTTGAAAAAGTTCACAACTGGACCAAAGAAGCGAATCCGTCGACAGCGGTTTATGGCAAAGAAATTTAAAGTCAGTCAGTCAACTATAAGCATTCAACAAAAAGAAAAGAAATAAGCCAAAAGGCACTAGTTGATACCCGAACACATTGCTATGTCAAAAGATAGGTCATAGCAATTATTCCAACTTTTAAATCAACTACAATCAATTAGACATCAAACTGAACATTGCTTTTTGATAGATTTGCTAGTATTTAATGTGAAATACGATTAGACACAGCGTTGGCCTTGGTTTAGGAAATGTTTTGATAGCGCCCCTTTTGCAAAGCCATCGCGGTCGGAGTTTTACCCAGCTCAGCCCCTGGGAACCGTCTAATCTGCTTCTGTCCCCTTCTGACCAGAAACCAACGAGTTATGTGACTTTAAAATCATCCATATACAGTGGATTTCGGGTATAACGACAACGAAGGGACCACTGTAATTTTGTCGTTATATCCAGAAGTCGTTACAGGCAAAGTTAAAGGAGATTTCAATTTTGAAACAGTTTTCGCATTTTTTTAACAGTAAATGTACATCTGGAAGTCACACTTATTCAAAAGTTTACTAAACACAGTTGCTACTCAGAAACAGCAGTAAAAGTCAGCACACTTGTTGACTATCTGTGTGAATGTAAACAAAAGATAAGAAAGCTCTTTGTGTCTTTAGGGGCCGACCCCGGTTGCTATATCGGCATGGGATTACTAGGCATTTGTTAAAAATGATTCATTAAAAACAGTTGTTACACCCGAACTAGGCGTTACATCCGAGGTCGCTATAGCCATATGAATTTTGTACTAAAGTGTGCTTTAAATTCAAGAGACTTACATATGACGTCGCTATAGCACAATGGTCGCTATAGCCAAGTTCGTAACAAATGAAATCCATTGTATTCTATTAATCACCCTCAGTATCTACATCCGAATTAAAATTAAACAATTGTTCCCAAAATATCTTTGCACCTACGGTAAATTAAAACGAATAATAATAGTACGTAAGTATAAGTCCCTGTTATGTTTTGTCTTTGAATAATGGTCTATTAAATTTGGCCGCTTAAAATGTGCTAACTTTATTAAACTACAAATTATCTAAATCGATCTCGCTAGGCTGAAACCTCGAAGAGCCATTAACGAACGCTGCATGTCTTCGCTGTTTAATGGAAAATGTGTGGTTATTAAAACAGGATAGGTCATGAAAGAGCGTTGTAATAATGTCCTATCTCCATTAGTAGGTAATCTTATACTTTCAGTGCTTTTAGTTTTTTATCGATTGTTATTAGGCACGTACTGAAACGGCCGGAAGGTCGAAATCAAGATCATTCACATTACAGTAAAAGTTTCTTATTCACGGTTTTTTTTTATTGGCGTTTTCATTATTCGCGGGTGAAAAAATTACAACCCAGTTCCTGTATTCGCGGTTAAAAATTTCATTATTCGCGGATGCAATCGGCAAACAGAAAAGGATTCGGTGACATTTATCACGGGGATTGATCGCAATAGATCGCTCGGGCCGAAAACATGGGTTTCTATTTTAAACATTGTGATTTAATGCTGCGAGATAAATATCTAATTTTTTGTATGGTAACAGACAAAGGTTCACACTAACTCGGTACGTTTTTGGTTTTCAATAATATGGTTATTAAAAGCTTATACAAGTGCTTAGAGTTGGTGCTTCTTGTAGGACACGTATTTTCAATAGAAATTAAAAAATTCAAAAATGGCCCTAGACAAGCTTTAGAACAAAGCTTTATCTATCTTACTACAAAATTTCAAACCTCTGTTCCAAACACTAAACTCATGATATCTAGAACCGATAAGCATGTTTTTACTCTACGGCGTGTGTACTACTGAATCCCCTGAGTGTATTGGTATCTGTTGAGTATATACTGTTGGTGAGTGCCGAGGCAGCTTCTATAAAAGATGTAACCGAGTGGACTAAGTCAAAATTCAAAACAAGAAAAAATCACTAAATTTTTTAAACCCCTGTCTAAAGGTGATTATAACGATTAAATTTTAATTGCGAATTTCTCAATGAATTGATTTTATTCTGATACATATTGGTTTTATTTTGGAACCTTAGGACTTATCCCTAAGATTCCGTACTAATTACCATTCCATATCCACGGTTTCTGTATTCGCGGCATATTTATGAAACGTATACCTGGCGAATGAAGAACTTTTACTGTATTCCTTAAGGAGTTTCGGGAGTTACGGCGTAAAAAAAGTTAGTTTTGCACAAAAAGTAGCAAATTACTAATAGTAGGAAACACATCTTGTATTTAATTTAGAAATTAGTAGTTAAACAATATAGCTGATAATTATTAAAAATCAGATGAAAATTATTTTTTTTAAAATGGCGAAATCTTTAAAGGTTTTCAAAATGGCTTAATTTCGTAATTTTTGATAAAATTTTTAAAATTTCCATCTAATAAAGATCGAAACTACTGTGAATTATTAATAAAAGGCAAGGAAACTTTCCGAAAGCCGAAAGCCCTAATGTTAAATACAATTAGTTATTTTCGGTGTTGCAGAAACATGACAAAATTCGGACAAAATCTTTGAAATCATTTCATGCTCGGAAACTTTCTCTAATTTATCTTTTCAATAGGATAAACAGAGTTCAAGGGCCGAAGGGGCTCCCCGTGTCACTTGCAAAACCCATCCACATTAACAATAGTTACACGGGTTATGCACGCTTATCAAGAACAACCGTAGTTTGCATGCATGTACATTGTACCTTAATATCTCATCGCTATTAATGGTTTGTGCTCTTTATATTACCTGACAGCAAAGGGGTTAAATCTTCAATGAAACAAACGACAAAATTACTAGAAATTGATCATCTCAAATGCCATCTCTATTATATGAGGTTTGTTCAAAAAGTATCGCGAATTTTGTGTTTTTTCAAAACTTCTGTATTTATTCATGAATATCTATTTCGTCACCTTCAAAGTAATCCCCACCAGATATTATACTTTTGTGTCAACGTTTTTTCCAACTATCGAAGCACTTCAAACAATATTTTTTTGTGATCTTTTTCAGCTCCACAAATCCGGGCGTTTTTGGCGGATTGTTTCGACCAAATTGCGCATAACTTGCAGTTAATATTCCTTATTAACCGTTCTATCCTGTGGCAAGAATTCATGATGCACCACCCCCCATGCAATCGAAGAAAACTGTAAGCAAAACTTTCACATTTGACTTAACATGGTGCGCTTTTTTCGGTCTTGACTCGTGCGGCAGCATTGATTGGGATGATTGAGCTTTGGTTTCCACGTCATAACCATAAACCGATGATTCGCCACCAGTTATGATCTTCTGTCTGGAGCGAATTTGGGTTGTCACGGACTGAGTCCAACAGCTCCTTAGCAATAATAAGGCGATGTTGATTTTGGCCGAAATTGAGCAATTTTGGTACGAATTTCGCGGAGACCAGTCTCATGCCCAAATCATTGGTAAAAATCGAATGGCAGGAGCCAATCAATATGTTTAGATCCTCAGAAACTTCTCTAGCGGTGATTCGACGATTGACCAAAACTATTTTCTTCACTTCATCAATGTTTTCGTCTGTTGTTGACGTGTTAGGGCGTCCGGCACGGTCTTCGTCGTTCACATCTTCTCGACCTTCTGAGAACATTTTGTACCACCGATAAACGTTGCTTCGGTTCAAGGTTCGGAATTCCCATTTAATTTTGTTTTTCACACAAAATTAGATCCATTTTTTAGAATAGGCAAAAATCAAAGACGCGTCAAAACACGTGCAAGTAAAGCAGCTGTCAAAAATTAGCTGAACATTCAACACGGCCGAACTTGACGGTATAAGTGAGAGACATGAGTACCTACATAACGCCATAAAAAAATCGAAAATTGAATGTACGCAACCCGCAGAAATTCAAACTTCGCGATATTTTTTGAACAAACCTCCTATATGTAGGTATTTATTGAATTAGCGCTTCCGTGTGAGAACTTTGGGTAATAATAGCTAGAAAATTGTTGACGGAGAATAATTCTTCGACTGATAAAGCTACAATCATGAATAACGTTTGCGGCATCCAAAATTGCAATAAGGGTAAAATATGTACAACAAAACTATAAACTACACGCTCTTTAGATTACAATTTTACGACTTCCTTTATGTCTGACGTTAACAAAATCGGGAGTTCAAAACGACAAAATTAGTGTGACTTTGATTCGAGAACAGAAGGGGTACCGTACCTTAGCAAATACATTATTTAGTATAAAAACATTTAAAAAAAGTTTAATCAGCGAACAGCGACGACCACTGTAGTAAGTGTACCAACTCAGTACAGTAGGGATACTCCTAGATCTAATCCAAAATGCCGGCGTTGTTTTGTAAGCGGTCATAAATCAACTTTATGTGCGCTGAACTGTTATATACGAGAATGGTTTAATAGCCTTATTAAAGTGAATAGATACAGAGTACTAAGGTTTTACAACTGTAGAAGACAGCCCCTGCTTACAATTAGGGGGGAATTCGTTAATAAAGTGGTAAAGCGCCTACAGGACGCGATCGGGAAAATGACCCTATCGTTCGCATTCAGAATATCTGTATACTGTGTTTAAACCAGCAATGTGCTCGCTAACACGAAGCCTGCCCAAAATTTTACTCCCAATGCATCAAAAGAAGTACTTACAACTCCGATAATGTCTCTGATATCGCATGAAATATCTAGAACTTAAACGTTCTTAAAAGCAAATCGATTCAATTAGAAGAGACGACACGTGAGAATGAAGAATGTGTGAGAAATGAAACAGGTTTGAAACTCACGTCTAGGAGATACATGAGGGATGCTCTGGAGGCTGCTTGGGGCCTTGTCATATCGGTCAATACTTGACAAAGTTCTACACTTAAGCGGGAAGTGGCTGTGTGACTGGTTAAGGTGGCTCTCTTCAGCGATTCCCCCAAACCGAAAATCCACATCTGAAACAATAGGAAATTCCAAAATAGCGAGTCCCAAATAACAATTCACAGTCAAAAGATAAAGTTAAAAAAGGGCTAAAATTTTAAATAGAACATAAAAATGTATAAAAACCTAAAATGTGTTGATGCCATCGTCAGTTAGAGGCCTTTTTTCCGAAATTCAATTTATTAAATGCATTAAAATTTCAAGTTAAATAACGAACATCAAGTGAGAGAAATATCTATTTTACGAAAACTATGGTCACTACAGTGAAAGTCCACTTTAACCAATTGATTCTACAATTTTGCCGTTCATTGTGTTTTCTTTACTATTAGTTATAATTAATCAAATTGTAGATATAGAAGGTACCCGGAAATACTCTGATAATCTTTTATTTGAAGATCAAAAAATACTAATCCTAATGTATAGAGAAATAATGATAATGATTTATTACATGTTGACAACAGGATTATTTTACGGTTTTGTAATAAGGAGATAAGATACTAACAATTCTGTTAATTAGTATTAAAAAGCATATAAATCGAATAATTAATCCAATCAACAGGTTCCATGGTGTAATGGTTAGCACTCTGGACTTTGAATCCAGCGATCCGAGTTCAAATCTCGGTGGAACCTACTTTTTTAAACAAAAGAACAAGAAAACCATAACATTACCAAAACAAATGGATTTATTTGGCCCATTGGGTTATAATTTTTACATTAGAGATTTGACACATTGGTGTCAGGAACACAACAAATGAACTAGAAATCATGGAGGAATTAATGAATGTATTGATGAAAATACTTAAAATAATGAAGTCAGAAATTAAAACAGGTCAGAAGAAATTGAATGAATAACTGAGATTACGCCAGGAAGTAATACAGGAGGATCTAAAAACAATAAAAGCGGGGCTAGTAAAGCAAAAAGAAGAATTAAAGGGCGCAAGGACAGAAGTAGAAGATGATTTAAGGAGAAAAAGTAATGCATGATGAAATAAAGGAATTAATATCGGAAGTGGAAGAAGAATTATATAGGAAATTAAATCCACTGTGAGTTGTCGGAAATTGTTAAACTCAATTAAATCTGAAAAAGTATAAGAATATCGAAAGTAAAATCTCCAATGTTTACTGCAAATATTCCCTGATCAGTTTACCTTCACCACTTCAGTTCGATGCTGCACCTAAGGAAAATGGGAAGGACAATACGGAAAAGTCATTGTTTTAAGATAAAGCACTGCGAAGAGAAGCTTTAGATTGTCTTACAAGGGATGCCAGAGTACAACAGAAATACTTCAAGACCTCTGTGGATCGATTAAAAATGCGTTACAGATGAATCAAATTCAAAAAAATTAAAAGTCGCTTTCAGAGTGGAAACTAAACTCTTCAATAATTTAAAACAGACGTCGAACGGCTTGTGCGGCCGGCTTATCCTATACATATGGTGCACCTCAAGCATTTGGAGAATTAACACAGAAGACCATTCAAATGGAGAAGACTCCAGTAAAAACAAGTTTGTTGATGATACTAATCAGTATTGCGAATATTGCGAATTTGAAATTTTGCGGGTTACGTATATACTATTTTTAATTTTTTGTGGCGTTATGTTGGTATTCAGTTAATTTTTGACAGTTTCTTTGCTTGCACGTGTTTTGGCTCGTCTTCGATTTTTGCCTATTCCAAAAAAACGGATCAAAGAATCCATCTACGAGGGTGGATTGATAAGTTTCCGGCCTGACCAAGAAAAACAAGGTTTTTAAAAATTTTTTTTTTTTATTTCTCAACATAATCTCCTCCAAGGCTGATACATTTCTCATAGCGGTGTTCCAGTCTATTAATGCCATCTCTATAGACTGATTCGTCAAGCTCCTCAAAATAACCATTTACAGCTTCGATTACTTCTTCATTGTCCGCAAATCTCTTACCGCCAAGCCATTTTTTGAGATTAGGGAACAGAAAATAGTCACTCGGGGCTAGGTCTGGAGAGTAAGGAGGGTGCGGCATCAATTCAAACTTTAGATCGTTGATTTTAGCCGTCGCAACGATTGACGTGTGCGCTGGTGCGTTATCGTGATGAAACAAGATTTTTTTCTTCGCCAGATGAGGTCGTTTAATTTTCACCTCGTGGCTCAAACGTTGCAATAAGTCTGCGTAGTATTGACCAGTGATAGTATTACCCTTTGCAAGGTAATCAATGTATATAATACCTCTTGCATCCCAAAAAACAGTAGCCATAACCTTGTTCGCCGAAAAAATTGTTTTTGCCTTCTTTGGAGTTGGTTCCCCTGGTCCAATCCACTGTTTAGACTGTTCTTTGGTTTCAGGAGTGTAGTGGTGGACCCACGTTTCGTCAACGGTTACGAATCGACGCAAAAATTCGCTTGGATTACGCTTATACAATGACAAATTTGCGGTAGAAATGTTTTTTCGAATCAATTTTTGGTCGACTGTTAGCAAACGCGGCACCCATCTTGCACAGAGCTTTTCCATATGCAAATGTTGGTGCAAAATATGTTGCACACGTTCATATGACATCTTACAGGTCTCAGCTATCTCACGCACTTTCAATCTGCGGTCTCCCAGCACTATTTGATGAATTTTTTCGATCATATCTGGAGTTGTGACCTCAACGGGGCGTCCTGAGCGAGGCCCATCAGAGGTGCTCACACGACCCTTTTTAAACTCGGAAACCCACTGCTTAACGGTTGAATATGACGGGGAGGATGTCCCCAGTGTTGAGTCCATCTCTTTTTTAATTTCCTTCGGCGTTAACCCCTTCAAATAAAAGTATTTGATGACAGCACGATTTTCCTGCTTTTCCATTTTTACGAAAACCACAGAGGCGTCTTGTTCAGCGTGCTGTCAAACCTACACTAGCAAGGAGATCGGGCTGAAACTATAGCTACAAGCTATCCAAGGATGGTACTATAGAATGTCACCTCAAGGTAGGCCTAGTGGCGTCATCTCTTGGTTAGGCCGGAAACTTATCAATCCACCCTCGTATATCAAATTTTGTGTGAAAAACGTAAAATTAAGTGAGCAGACGCATTCCGAATGTTGACTTTGACATATGGTGAAGCTACCTTGGACCGAAGCAACGTTTATTGGTGGTACAAATGTTCTTAGAGAGTCGAGAAGATGTGAACGACGAAGAGCCTGCCAGACGCCCGAGCACGTCAACAACAGACAAAAACATTGATGAAGTGAAGAAAATAGTATTGGCCAATCGTCGAATATTGGTGTTGGACTCTGTCTGCGACGACTCAAATTTGCTCCGGAGGGTCAAAACTGGTGATAAATAATGGGTTTACGGTTATGACGTGGAAACCAAAAGTCAATTAACCCAATGGAAGATGCCGCACGAACCAAGACTGAAAAAAGCGCGAGAAGTTAGGTTGAAAGTAAAGGTTTTGCTGTTTTACAGTTTTCCTTGATTGCAGGGGCGTGGTGCATCATGAGTTCTTGCCATAGGGTAGAATGGTTTCCTGCAAATTATATGCAATTTGCGAGAAGCAACCCGTCAGAAGCACCCGGATTTATGGAAGAACAAAAACGGCTTTTGCACCATGATAACGTCCTTGCTCACATATCGTTGCATGTACGTGAATTTTCGGCCAAACACAACACACTCATAACGCCACAGCCATTGTGTTCCCCAGATCTGGCCCCCAGTGACTCTCTTGTTCCCGAAACTGAAGAAACCCATGAAAGGACGACGTTACGCTACGATTGAGGAGATAAAGGCGGCATTGAAGGAGGAGATAAAGGCGGCATCTCGTGGGGATTACTTTGAAGGGGACAAAATAGATATTCATGAATAAATAAATAATTTTCGAAAAACCATAAAATTCGTGATACTTTTTAAACAGACCTTGTACGCGAAAATGGAACAGTAGAACCATCTGTCATTGTAGTACGCAAAGAAGGCAGAACAACTAAGATTTTAAGTGGGCTCTTGACGACTAAACGAACTAACCCATAAGGAAAGTAGCAATACAAAATTGCAATAAAGTTGGGAGGATCCATGTGAAGTAATAAAATGAATAAGCGGCTTCTTATACAGGATGTAATTGAGACTCAAATTTAAGATGAAGGTTGTTCATCTGGACCACTTAGGACCCTTCATCAGGGTGAGAGAAACTGATCGGGACGATTAGTTGTTATGTGGGGAGCAATGTCACGGATTCACGAACTAACAGCTCTTGGACAATCAAAAATGAACATACGAATGAGGAAAGTCTGCTGAAGACCCTAAGCAGAGGAAGACCTTTTCCTACCATGATCCAAAGAGGAGAAATTTTAATAATTCCCATTTTTTGTAAATGAGGTTTTTGAAAAGCTGTCATAGCATAGTAGCAATGTAGGTATTACAGTGGCAAAGAATTTGAATTTTTTGTGTTGATTTTTCGTTTATTACTAATGATTTGCTTCTGTTTCCTCTTCGTCCAATTTTATTCATAGAAATTTTGAATATAAAAGATAAATGAAGAAGTATCTAGCAATAGGTATCTATTCATCGACTGTTTTTATTTCAATGCAGTCTACCGAAATTAATAGGTTATTAAAAATTCACGGCTTTCTGACCCCTTTTACACCAATCAAGGGGAGAGTTTAAAAGAAACATCGTTAAAATAAAAAAAAACAACTCGTTAATGGAAACGAAGTTATAAGTAAGTTATTAAATTATAAGAACCTCCTAATTTTTTTCGTATCTACTTCTCAATGGTAATTGAACTGGTAAACAATTAGGTAGTTTTAATTTATTAAAGGGCGAGTTCTGAAACATCTTACACTTCAGTCGTTTAGTGAAACAATTTCAATTATGCTTATGTAAATAATTTTTCACTGTGACCGATATTCGACACGACTATTTAATGTAATGTTCCTATTAATTTTAGAATACTTCTTTAATGTAATGAAAACATAATCAAAAATTAAAAAAAAATCAATTTCACGAGGTTCCACCGAGATTTGAACTCGGATCGCTGGATTCAAAGTCCAGAGTGCTAACCATTACACCATGGAACCTACTGACGGCAAAAGCATTTTTATTTGAAAACACTCATGAATCAGACTTGGAATGTTGCCGGTTTATCTTGGAGTCACTGCCACGCTTGCCGAGGCGCCGCATCTTCCGCGTCACCACCTTGAAATAACGTTACTCACTAATTGAAACTTTAACACAGCTCATACCAGTCTAGCGGTGCCGGTGGCTTATTCACACAGAACTGTTGTAGAGTACTTAAATTTTGATAAATAATAAAGTTACCTAATCCAAATAAGTCACATTTGAGATATAGCTTATACAATGAGAAAACCTAGACAAAAATGATAAGGTCAACCAAGTAGTTTTCCTTAATTTTCCACTCTGACATCATCATCATCATCATAAGGTCGTCAGTCCTGAGACTGGTTGGACACGCACTCCACTCCTTCCTATACTGAGCTCTTTTTTTTCTCATTTTCCTACAACTAGAACAACCCACATCCTTAGCTATTTGCGAACAGTAATCTAATCTAGGTCTACCTCTACTCTAACTAGACCATCATGCCTGAGAAGATGTCCTATCTCGCCTATTTCTTATTGACTTCCATAAGAGTCCTCTGTTCTCCTATTCTTTCTAATATCTCTTTATTTTTAACCTTCTCTATCCACGGTATCCTCATCATTTCCTACTTTTTTTTTCCTTGCATACCAATATTTTTGTTTTACCCTTACATATGCGATTTTTTTTAAAATTTAAACGGGACTCAGTTGAGATAAAATCCGTCCAGTAAAAAAAGAATAATTAAAAAAACAGATGCCGGATCCTAAATTTTTCTCAAAGTGTACACTTTAGGACTAAATGTAATTTTACTTTAAAAAAAAAATGAAGAATGCAGAATAATTCTTACCTTTTCCGATTCGGTATCGCTGTACCGTTTGTTGGGACGATATTCGGGAGCTAAATATCCCGTTATATGAACAGGGTAACTGCATGATGTGTTCACAGGATTCTGACAAAGTTTTACCCTCCCTCTGCTGGACAGAAGGAGGGTGGCAGGGGTTATTAAGGGAACAGAAAACATTCCTGTAGCGCCATCTGAAACAAGAAGAAAAATCTAATTGAACAAAAAGCATAAGATCGACTTGACTAATCCAAGTAGCAGTTCTTAAAAAAGTAAAGAGAAAAATAAATTTTAAAAACAGCCTTATTAATAATAAAAGGCCACGGACCACTGTACTCCTTATAATCTACCAAAAAATTTTGTTGCAAAGTATTCGGATAAATTGGAATTTAGTTGCAGGATTAACAAATGTTCGTGGAGTTGACACGAACCCGTACGACTTCGCTTCGTACAACTTAATGTTAGTGTTAGCAACAGACACACTCCGGTATGGTCTAGTGGCTAGGATACCTGGCTTTCACCCAGGAGGCTCGGGTTCGATTCCCGGTACCGGAAAACGTACTTTTTGTAAAAATGTTAATTATACTTTTTTGAGTTCTACACACTACAACCATTGTAGTGAATCATAATAATTTTACAGCATGGTAATATTCGAGGGTCATTAGATTATGTTTATGATTGATATGTTGTTACTAATTAGCCCGGTGTAATTAATAACACATTATAAGACTTAAATTATTTACGAAATACGTACCATTAATAATTTCAGTGTCTTAATAAGCCATTATGATAAGTGATAACAATTAACATACGAAAATTTACCAANTAACTACTGAAGTTAAATTATAAATAATTAAATTTTAAATGTGACCATAACTTTGATACAAATTTGGGTTTATACAACACCATTCATGTAGCAGTTAGAGATAAAATGTGTTTCCTCATGACAAACGATGTACCGAAATCGCCGTGCTTGTTTGAGTGAAATGGGTTCAAATTTTCAGATAAAATAATCTGTGCAACACCTGTTTACCCTTAATCAGCTCTTACGACGGAAGAATATTCAATTAATTATTTCAAGATAATAAAATGGTAAACATAAATTACAGAGAATTAGTAAATAAATATGAAGTCGCCAAAATTAATGAAACTACTTAAACTTTCACGCCCCATTTACTTACTACCACAGCGAGTAAATCTTCTGTGGTATCAAATACAAGGGAGGATTTGACAGGCCAACCGAGTGCGAGGAATAATAAATTTTCGAACCACTTCGTTTAAACGAAATTCAAGAATAAAATTGAAAATCGGTTGGCTAATAATAATAATTATTATTATGTATTTATTTAAACAATATTTTTGATTGCCCAACTTCCTCACCATGCTGCGCTGGTAGAAGTGATCAAAAATGATTTGACTCGATTATACCTACCTCTTAAAATAATAATGTTCGCTTGCCTATATAGTGTTTCCATTACATATCAAGAATGTCAATGTGTTATTTTGTAAGATTCTTCATTTCAAATAATTTAAATATATTGACATATAAAAGTCGACTAGCATTCGAGAGGATACCGGCTCAATTCTGAGTTCATGTACCTGGCTCAAGTTTTTCTGGATCGTTTAAGCAAACACTGAAACACTAACATTCCACAGATAATCTTTCATTTCTCTTCTGTCTTCATTTCATCCGTTTCATCTTTCTTTCTTCAACAATCATCTACGATTTCTAAAAAAGGATGCTGAAGAGGGCCTTTCACAGATAATCTTTCACTTCTTTTCTATCTTCACGTCATGCGCCCCATTTTTCTCTCTTCATTCATCATCTATCCAATTTCCACGATTTCAAAAACGGGGGCTAGGGAGAGTCTTTCACAGACAATCATTCAATTCTCTTGTGTCTTCATGTCGTTCATATCATCTTCCTCTCCTTAGTAATCATTGACGACTCTTAAAAAAGCAGGCTGAAGAGGGCCTTCCACAGATAAACTTTAATTTCTTTTTTCTCTTCATATCATCCGTCTCATCTTCCTTTCCTTAATCATCATCCACCCAATTTCCACGATTCCTAAAAACGGAGTCTGAAGAGGGCCTTCCGCAGATAATCTTTCACTACTTTTCTGTATTCATGTCTCGTCTTTCTCTCCTCATTCATCATCTATCCAATTTCCACGATTTCCAAAACAGAGGATAGGGAGAGTCTTCCACAGATAATCTTTCACTTCTCTTGTGTCTGCATGTCGTCCATATCATCTTCCTCTCCTCAGTCATCATTGACGATTCCTAAAAAAGGAGGCTGAAGAGGGCCTTCCACAGATAAACTTTCACTTCTCTTTTCTCTTCATATCATCCGTCTCATATTTCTTTCCTTTTCTTTCATTCACCCAATTTCCACGATTCCTATAATGGAGGCTGGAGAGGATCCTCCATAAATAATCTTTCACTTCGCTTGTATCTTCATGTCCATCTCATCTTTCTCTCCTCAAGCATCATTCACGATTCCTAAAAACGGAGACTCAAGAGGGCCTTCCGCAGATAATCTTTCCTTCTTTTCTGTGTTCATGTCTCGTCTTTATCTCCTCATTCATCATCTATCCAATTTCCACGATTTCTAAAACAGAGGCTAGGGAGAGTTTTCCACAGATAATATTCACTCACTTCTCTTGTGTCTTGAAGTCGTCCATTTCATGTTTATCTCCTCAATTATCATTTATGGATCCTAAAACAGGAGGCTGAAGAGGATCTTCCACAGATAATCTTTCACTTCTATTTTCTTTTCATGTCATACATTTCATTTTTCTCTCTTCAATAATAATCCACTCAATTTTAACGATTCCTAAAATGGAGGCTGGTAAGGGTCCACCATAGCAAATCTTTTACTTCTCTTTTGTCTTCATATCGTCCGCCTCATCTTTATCTCATCGTAATCCACCCAATGGACCGTCCGCTCTACTTTCAATTTTAAACCAGAGGACTATTTTTTATTGCCTTCAATTTCTTGTTATTAACTCACTGGTTCAACAAAAACTTTATGTTCTACGTATAATTAAGTTTTTTTGTTCATAATCAATAAACGAAACAGTTTAATAATGAACAGAAATTCAATCAATTCACAGGAAGGCTAATGGAATCGTTACCTTATTTTTTCGTATAAAGTTGAAGTAAAATTTATGATACCTACGAAGCATTAATTATGCAAGTTTTACTTACACTTCAACAATTTTATTTAAAAATGTGCCACATTGAATACATTTCACACGTATGGTAAAAGAGAGAATTTTAATTACCGGGACAAAATTTTTAATGACGAAAAAACTTTCAGCGGCAGCAATAGCAGGAATTTGTCGAAAAAGCTAATTCTGCTAACGAAAAATATAGAGATAAAAGAACATATATTCATTGTCGTAGATTCTATTATCCCTTTTTTTAGTGTTGGAATGGAACGGTAGATTACCGATTCAGCTTTAGGCTAAACACGCATTCGGAATTTTAAAAATGTCAATTAAGGGAAACACAACACCGGATAACAATGTCGGTAAAACAATGTAATTGAATAGAACAGAACATGAATTCCTCGTTTGCTCCAAATACAAGGATCTATCGAAAAGTTTGTGTCCTGGATATGAAAACCAAACACTTTTTTAGATATGGATGCGGAGCTTTAGTGGTACGTACAGACCAACTGCATTCACTTCTATTATGTATATATATATTGATTTTTAACTAACAATAAGGCCCTTTTGTACGTGCATACAGTTTAACTATAAACACAAAAGTCCGGTATGGTCTAGTGGCTAGGATACCTGGCTCTCACCCAGGAGGCTCGGGTTCGATTCCCGGTACCGGAAAAACTTGTTTTTTTTTGTTCTCCTACAATTTTGCATAACAATGCATCAATTAGCATTATGAACACGAATAATTTTAAGTTAATGAGCTACGGAGCAAAAATGCAATTTCAATAGGCTTTAAACCTAAAGATGTTCTTAACTATTCAAATAAGCGACAGCATAAATTTCAACTCGAACTTAAAGATAATTGGTTGGATCATTAGCCAATTCCACGAAGTACACGTTGTCGTTCGGTCGATGGGAAACAGCGGGGCGCCGTTTGTGCCATGCAGCGTCGTGACGCACGGCGCTGAGTTATTTTTGGATGTGTACTGGGCGTATTATAATACTTCATTATTCATTCAACTAAATTCCATCTAAGTCCGAATTGGCGACTTAATGCGACTAAATTACCTGGAAACTGCAAAGTAGGCAAAATAATACCGGTCTTTAAATTAGCCTGCCAGCTTTGTCCGAAAACTTTACCATAATTAGTATGTAATTTATTGCTACATCTTCTTCTCTTTCACTGCTAAAAAGTTTACGCATAAATATTTAGAAGCTTAATAATTTTGACGTTAATTTATACAACACACTAATGATCATTTTGTAAGTTTATCTTCTTAACTCGAAAAAAGGAAGGAAAAACACCCGGGTAGTTAGAGGCAAAGGGAGCACTGCCTCCCTCCTTCCCTTTAGAAAAATCTCTCTATCTTCATGCCTATTTTAAGGTATTGTTGTAATTTAGATACCTTTCAAGCTATAGAAATGTGCTATGTGTAATAAAAGTTTGTGTACAGTAATAATTATTTCATGATAGTACATACACAAAATTCACTAATTTGGTATAATCCGGTATGGTCTAGTGGCTAGGATACCTGGCTTTCACCCAGGAGGCTCGGGTTCGATTCCCGGTACCGGAAAGACAATTTTTGGTCAGATTTTTTTTTTGGTGAATATTCATTATTACATTAATTGACTTGCAAGTAAAACGCACTCTCATGTCACAATTACATTGGAAATTAGCCCATTTTAATAATAAGATACATAAATTATTTTTATTAGACCCTTATAAACACTAAAGTAATCATGTAATATTCACTTCTACACCTATTTAAGAACCCGTCTTGTCTGAAAGAGTCAATGTCGGGCGAACCACAATTTACAAGTCAATAAATGAACATTACTGAAAGCTGTTTTTTTTAATAAACCCCTGGCCGCTTTATATCAGATCGATGTACAATAAATTCGCTAGTAGGGTAGTTTATTGTTAATCCAAGAGGATGGCAAAATTTTGAGGTAGAAGAAAAACGAAATTACACAGTTTACCAGGGTTTCATGTAATTCGGCGAATACCCAGGATGTTT